CTGCCGGCCATTTCGGCCCTGCAGGCCCTCGTGCTAGCAGCCGCGCATACGAATGGTCAGTATAACGGCCACCAAGAACTCCAAGAAGCGCACTTCTGACCAAGAACCCTAACAGGCGGCGTCGATATGGATATTTACGGCGTAAGTTCTTGGTGCCAACATGCCGTGCGACAAACACTGATCGATCGTTTTCGCCTGTGCAGGCTTTCCAGTTTTGCGCAATTGGCATTTTAGCAGCGCCTCTCACTGTGAGATTGTCGCGAACTTATTTCCAGTCTCCCGGTCGCAACATCATATTTCTCTGGACGATACTGATCCTAATGGGGCTGTTGGCCCTCTGCGTCGAGTTCTACCGGGTCACTCCGACGGCCTGTAGCAGCGACGATAATGGGAATCCTTTCCAAGGTGCCACTAACTTTCCGTACGAGCATGCTACTTGCAATCTGACTTGCTCTGAAAGCGTGGGTCCGAATTCTCCGATGCGAGGCGGATCTGCTGCCGACGTCTATGTCATTCCCGTGCCGCGCATCCTGACTTTCAACGCCGCCATGCTGCTCTCGGCCGGATTTTGCATACCTGCGATACTGTCCCTGATCTTCACATGGGATAAGATTCTGGAGATCAACTGGAAGAGACGACGTCACGTGGAGCCGCTAGACGCTCGGATCGAGGGTGCCAACATGACCGTTGGAGAGATGAAAGGCATCAACAACGTTGTGAGAAAGTTTTTGAGTGTCATAGAGATCCCCCTATTCGGCGGGGTGATCATCACAATCATTGGGGTTGGCGAAGCAAATTTCTTCAGTCCTCAGGTGCGGTATATGACGGAACCTATGGCTTCGATTGGTAAGTAGTGTAGCGCAGTGACATGTTCGGTGCTAACAGAGTCCCCAGGGCAATGGTCACCCATAGCTGGAACAATATTGGCCGCACTTGGCTCTCTATATATCCTGTGGTCGACTGGTGGTGATGAGGCTCCGCAGGAGAAGCATGTGGACCATTGTGAGAACTCTGGCTCATCGCGCCCCAGTCGTAGTAGCGAGCGACGACCATCTCCGCGGCCTCCTTCCTCCACCTACTTCAGCCCCAAGGGTATTGCGGAGAATGGCTTGGGCATACGCTCAGAGTCGCCCAATGCTATTGAACTGATCCCGACTATCACGCATCCCGGCTCCGAACACCCTCAACCCAGCCCTTCTTCTTACGATGATCAACAAGAGAATCCCCAAGCTGATCAGCCGACAGCCGGTAGAAACGTTGTGCGTAAATGGTTGACGTCTGCTGGCAATTACCTCGGCGACGCTGCGCATGAGAAACTCGATACAGATCATGTCGGCAATGACGAAGACACTCATAGGTTTCCCGAAGTTCCTGGCGAGATCCTACGAAATCCCGATTTAGAAAGGATTAGTCGCACGTACAGTAAGCTCCGCGAAGAAAGGGAAAACAGCGTATATGCGGCAAGCATTGCATCTACATCAGGTATCGAGGGCAGTACATCTCCGCCACCTATACAGGATTCGCCGCGTCCCGATATCAGCCCTGTCCGACGACCAGAACGAAGGGCTACGCTAGAGGTACCAAAGGAAGTGCATCGTAGGAGCGAGAGCCATTGAACGCTCATAGACCAAACCAGGCTTCCGATACGGTCAGATGCGAAGGAACACTATGGCCGACACCTACTGCCCAGATGCCTTCGACACTCGGACCGAAGTCGTCAGTACGGTAGTTGCGCTCTGGCGTATCCTTCTTCGAGCTCGTCGGCGTGGTGCTAACGCCAAACACGTTGGTCCACTGCTTCAGCGTCTCGTCGTAGTTCTTCGGACTCAGCGTTCCATCTACCGAGCCATGCCAGAATTCTTGAGAAGTCAGTACTTGGTTCACGAGCGTACAAGACTTGGAACTTACGCATGCGCGGTCGTGTTCCGTTATACCCGGGATACATCCCCCGAACTACGTCACCCCAGTGCTGCCCAGTCGAGACGGACTGCCCGCCAGAGCAGGTGTTATTCCATGCTGCCGCTGCTCCGGATGCAGAGACGAAACACCCAGCTGGTACTCCCGAGTACAGAGATACTGCGCTGATGAGATCGGGATAGGTGGCGGCGAGAACATTGCTCATCATGCCACCTGAGGAGCCACCCGTCACGAACACTTTCTTGGGGTCGATCTTGTACTTGTCGATCGCATAGATGATCATGTTCGCGATCGCGTTCGAATCACCACCGCCATTATGCGACAACGAAGCTTTGCTGGATACATCCCAACACTCAGTCGTGGAGCTCGGCCAGACTGTCACGTAGCCTTTGCTATCCGACCCTTTCTTCCATGGAATCAGGGAGTTTTGGAAGTACTTCTGCGCCGATGACTGACATGAGTGGATCGCCACGACGAGTGCATCGCTCTTGACCTGGTCAGGCACATACACCCACCTTGGGTGGCGTGTCAGTCAATTGCAACATTGGAAAGGAGGGGCGCAGATCACTCACATGCCTGGCTTTGCTCGCGCGCTACCGCCATAATTGGAGACTTGTGTCAATTGAGCAGCGAGAATACGCGAAGCAAGTGCGAGGGTTGCAAAAAAGGTTCTGGTAAGCATCTTGAAGGAGCTGGAGGTAGTTTGGCAGTCCCATGTCTGAACTTGGTCACTATATACACCCACAAGCTCCGCATTGACAGAGTGGGGTCGACTTTCATTCGTGGAAGTTGACATCCTCGTCTCGTCATGTAGTGTCCGAAGCCTATGGCGCCACGTGAGGCACAACGTTCATCAGAGCGTTTGTTAGGTAGCTCCGGATAAAGGGCAAGGTGCTCGCAATCAAGCTTCATACCAAGCATTTTTCGCACATTACCCGCATATGTCTGTATCCCTGCATCCACGTCTACCACTTTGCAACTGCCCATATGAAACACGAGGACTTGATGTTACTGGTCGGCCCATCCTCAGAGTCTAATCCAGCTACTCTAGGTGCCGGACGAAGCTTGACGTCAGGCGCAGCTTTTAGACAAGCCTTGCGATACCTGGAAAGTAGCGCAATGTAGGGTAGGGGCAATGAGAAAGTGCTGCTGACTGAGTCCCGCGGATAGAAGGGTGGCTGCGCTGAATGTCTGGTACGTTATATGAGGCCGACATTGGTGTCATGTGGGGAGCTTCGCGAAGGTCGTCCTTCTTACTGTGAGGAACTTTGAGCAGACAAGGAGACATAATATCCTCCTAAGAATAGATCAGCTTGCTCGAACAGTTACTTTTAATCGTATTCCGCTCAGGGTAAGGACATTCACGATGTGGCTTCTCCTCGCAACCACCGTCGTACTCTTAGCCCGTCGGGTCTCCGCTCATGGCGGAGCTCTGAACTACACTGTCGGAGACACATGGTACCCTGGGTAAGGTCAACTTGCAGAGTCCTCAAAGGATGTAAACAAGTCAATCTCGTTAACGCTTTCCACAGCTACGATCCTTATGGCGACCAGGCCATGCAGGATGCCGCCGCATGGATGCCACAACGAAAATGGATTTCCAACAACCCCATTTTCGAAACCACCAACACGTCTCTTTCCTGCAACACCCCCGGTACACCCGCTCGCGCATACATACCCATTCGCGCGGGCGAAAACATAACCGCCGTGTACTCGTACTGGGTGCATACCGTCGGTCCTATGATAGCTTGGATGGCATACTGCGACAACGCCGAGAATGACTGCACGACCTTTGCTAGCGAGACGGCAGATTGGTTCAAGATCGGCGAAAAGGGGTTACTGGAAGGAAGCATCGAAACTGGGGAGTGGTTCCAGAAGGCGTTCAGTATGTGGGATGGGAGTCCAAGTCTGTGGAGTGAGATGGTGCCTGTAGGGCTGAGGGCGGGAAGATATTTGGTGAGGCATGAGATTATTAGCTTGCATTCCGCGAATAGTATGTCCATGGGTCCTTCCTCCAGATGCAGCTCTTCGAGGATGAGGGAAGGTGCAACGCGCTAATGATCTGGGGTGCTCAGAACCACAATTTTACCCCGAATGCGCGCATTTGGAAGTCACGAACGATAAGGAGGGAGGCTCGATTCCTAGTGAGGAGTATATGGTCAAGATTCCAGGCGTGTGGAGTATGGACCGTACGTATACCAATGGCCGAGTAAAGAGTATGCGACTGATGATAGATAGAACCCGAGATCAATATCGACATTTACAGTCCCGAGGTCTCGGAAAAGACGGTACGTCCAATGGAGACATGAGTTGCTGCAAAAGCTTATGCTGACGACATTGCCTAGGTATACAACATCCCGGGCCCACCCGTATGGATTGGAAAGCCGTAGGTCGGCATGGAGAAGGCGTAACGGACTGCGCAGGCCCTGGAATGACGGTCCAGTCAATCGAGGGTTTGCACATCACAATTCAGTTATCCTCTGTGGCGCAATTGGCTAGCGCGTCTGACTGTTACAGCTTGCAGTAGCAGTCATCAGGAGGTTGGAAGTTCGAGCCTTCCCGGAGGAGTGAATTTTTTGCTGCTTGTGCGGACAAGACAATAGACTGGCGTGGGTTGATGGAGAAGTACATTTTTGAGATGCTGGTTGTGGGTAGTGCATGGACTGACAGCTGCCGAGGATCCACCTGGCTGTGGGATTACATAACCGGCAAACGTCATCGATTGGCGCTATGGCCATGCTCCTTCCTGCGCGTCCTCACAACAACACTACGCGTCGACATATACAAGACGTCGCAAGCGGCATTTCATACTGTCATGACGCGATAGAATGCGTGTTTCAATGTGATCGCGATATTGTACGTTTCAAAATTCTCATTCGAAGTCTCTTGCCGCCTGACTGCCAAAGCTCTCCAGGGCTAGCACTATCTCAACGCACACTCCACACCATCCACGATACCTATGCTCGCCCACACACCATGCTATAATGTCACCTTCTTTCGATGGCCCTTGGAAGATTGAGTCAATCTGGCCCTCCGGTCTTTCCGGGCAACCAGCCCTGACTTCACGAGCGTCTTGCCTCTCTTCACGCCGGTCTCACCTCTAGACCCCTTGTCTGACCTGACACATCGTCTTCCTCGGCCTTCTCCTCGGAGGCCTTTGCATCATCACGGTCTCTACGTGCTCTCTGTCTCTTGGCTTTCTTGGTATCTTTTCGACGGGGTCGGGCGGGAGTCGTGGTGGGTAGGCATGGTACTTCCTGGGCAGTATCCTCTTGGTCGACATCAAGCTCCTTCTCGAGGCTTTTCCGGAACGCGGCTTGGTCTTGCAGCTTCCGGTAGCGGTTCTTTTGAGGTTCGGTCATCTCTCCCTTCTTCTTCAACAACTCCTGTTGCTCCGTCTTGTTTGCCACGGCTGCATCGTGCTCAGCCTTGAATGACTCGAAGATGGCCTTCCACTCGACCTCGACGTTTGGGTAGTTGTTCCGCGCGTTCTTGACGTAGAGGTTGTAGCCCGCTAGGTATGGATGCACGGCGCATCCTTTGGGGGAGATGCACTGAAAGCGCTGCCCACAAATCACGACCTCGTCGTATGTATCTGACTTCTTGTCTTTGTCGATGACGGGAGCAAGGCACCAGCAAAAGTGCAGCGCGCTGACACATCTCATTGATGGCCCGCCGCCACACTCCTTGTCTTCGCAGTGATGCTGTGGTTGAAGAGGTCAGTGTATTCTCTCGACATAAGTTTAGTCCCTCTCGGCTACCTACAGCGCTGCCCATTCTCTCTTTGGTACGAATATTTCTCATCATGGCGGCGTTGCTGTCGTTCTTGATATAGTGGCCGAAGATCTCGTCCAGGTCCAAGGAACTCTGTCGCGCGTAGTTGGGCATCTCTGTGGCGATTGCATTCGATATTTGCTAGATAGTAGAGGTTTATGGGTAGTGCAATCAAGCAGATAGAGTCGGGAAAGACGTGCAGGTCAGTGAGGTTGTACCTTTCGTCGGCAGAACGAGGGATCACTATTGGCTGTTGTAAGAGTTTTACGCCTTTACTACTCGGCTAATAGGCACTATTTACATTGTTATTGTTGTGGTTGCTGCCTATCAGTTTACTCGGCTCAGGCTGCCTCGCTCGCTCCGAGTATCGCCGACATTGTGGCTATCTATCCCTACGAGCTTCACTGGAATCGTATCTGCCGAGAGCCCCCTGAGTACATCCCCACTCAAGGGCATGATGATCGGCCGCTGCGAGCCGTCACTCGAGCTCTGACCGGCCCATATCACGATAACCTACTAGTTGTTCTTCTAGCAGTGATTGACACACGACGATGCATATATAATGACTGAATCGTTAATCAAACAACACTGGGTTGCTCTTCCCCGATCCCACCCCCGAAAGAAATACACCGCATTAGACACCCCCGTCTTAGTACACTTACACATATACTAAAATCCTAGGCTCCTGGCTAGGCTCGCATGAGGAAGCATAGTCGAGGTCTCAATTGTATATGTATGATGACAGTCTTTATCAAGATCGTACTCGAAGTGTTGGTAATTACAATTAGGTGTTACATCCCGCAGCGCACATGTTACAAGAGACGAGGGGTGGAAACTCTATGTAGTAAGACTAACTCCATGCAATTTTATCCAAACCTATGTCATTCTCTTACTATTTGAATTGATATCTACGATGCGTAATACTGCCTGTCACAATACAATTGATGATACAAAAGAGCCTTCGGCCAAAGACAGTGTAAAAGGCGGCTATTGTATCGGCTATCGATTGCACTAAGTAGCAGAGCAGAACTTCACACACTAGAAGCCTAGCTGCTTTGTCTCATCCACACATGACACGAAGACACAATCAACATACAGTGAGTGACACCCTAATGCTCTTAAGTAAGTAGTCAAGAGAGACGCATCTACCTCAGTAGCGCAACGTAGCGTCCCTTGATTCTCGATCTCGTCCATCGATCCGCGCGTGTCTCCCCCTCTTTTACAACCCATGCTTCCTTCGAAAGAGGGGGATAATTGGGCCCGGAGCATCTTCTTCAGTTCCTGATTCTCGTATCAAGTCCATTGCCAGCGCTAACAATCCTTGCCATCCGTTATGAGTTTCTAGATCTTTCATAAAGGTCGACAATATCACCATAGTCTCGACATCCGTCTCTAGTTTGTACGGGGTTCGACTGTCGTAAAGATTGAAATCGTGGTTCGCGGTCATGCGTACCTTGCTGCTTATAGCTTCTACCATCTCCATTGATCGTTGCCGGATGTTGAGAATGAGCCGAGAAACATCCCCTGAAGCATAAGAGGCAAGTAGTGGCACATCGATTGATGTAGTCAATACTAAATGGCCGGTATGCTCAAGCTTGTGGGTAAATATCCATGAGAAGCCAATAACTGTATGGGTGGCACAGGTAGTAGCACATCGTGAGTCACAAGCCTCCACTAGGACGTGCGCATAAAGAGAGTCCAATGTCGTTAGTGTTCCAGGATACTGAGACAGTCTGACTAATACGCCACTTTGCCCAGAAATGGAGCGCCATCGCGACGTGTACATTGCGACTTCGACAGCCTCGGCGTCGACCTCTCTGTAAATCCCGCTGCGTTGGATAGTTCGTATACCCACAGCCATCTCCCAGGAGGAACCTTCAGTGCGCGCGTAATGACTGTCATCGGCACCGCGTGGTTGCATAGGCTGGGTTGTCATCAGTTTCAATCCAACATGACCGCCCATGTGGTTGTCTCTTTGTCCTTTGATAACATAACGATTGTACTGTTCGGCAAATTTGAAAGGAGACTTCAGGATGTCTAGCCTCAAGATTTGCTGGAGAAGCTGCCATACGGTGAGGCTATAATCGACGATGTTGGTGAGCCTCAAGTCTTCTTCAGTCCCCTCGAGTAGGCCAAGTAAAGCGAAAACACCGTCTAGAGGGACTGATCGAGGTAACATTCCAAACTTCTCAAACAATGCCTCAAGCGACCTCCACCCGGTTCGATAGGTTATAAGAGCGATCATTTTATCTTGACTTTGCGATGTTTCACTCCATCCGTCAAAGAGAGCGCCATCTAGCAAAATCTTCTTCAACTTGCTGTAGGGAAGTTTGTTTCTTCCCACCAACAACTGGACCTTCTTTGCAAGAAGAAATTCCTGAACGATCCACATCCGTGACCAATAATCTGCTCGTAAGATGTAGTCCAACTGCTCTCTTCGTCGTTTATGTTGGCGCTCATCTCTTATGCATCGATAGTACGAATCGAGTATGTACTGTCGATTGAAAATGCCAGTATGAGGCATTGGTTCGTCGTAGCCGAGCCAGCTGTAAACGCATTTGGCACCAGAATAGATCCGTTTCATCTCTTGAACTTGATGACTCCGCTCTTGAACGTCGTCTTGATTGATGCATATGGCATCCAGCCATATAACCTGCGTCTTGTAACGGCTGCGGAAGGCCTTTAAGAAACGGAATAGATTTTCTCGCACTTGGAAGTGTCCGCCGTCCACGAGTATGGACATTGTTGGCTCGGGCGGACCCCAGACGTACGACCCAGCGATATATTTGTTTCGTTCCCGTGAGATGGAAGCCGTGTTTAATTCGCATCGTATTGGAGAACCATGGCTCAGGCTAGGCAGCACGCGCAAAAGTCGGAAGCTGTCACCGTTATGCAGAAGAGGCGAGAACCGGGTAGAGGCAGTCTGCCGGACCTGTGTTGGGTTGGTAGAGACACTGGTGCTTGTGTGGTTTGTTGACATGGCGAACGCCCTGACCGTAAGGTAAAGCCCCGGTTTCGAATGCGAGATGCAAGGCAGCGGTTTCGAATGAAGGGGGTTTCTGATGAGATATACTAACGGGAGTAGACAGAAACGAGTGAGGCTGAGCAACGCCACAGACTTGGCAGCTGAGGCCACACCAATCACATCCTCTGTGAGAAGTTTCGAGACCATCATCTCACAAGTTAAAAGGCGAATCAGTTGGATATAATGCATCTCAATCATGCGAAGGACGACCACAAGGCTGCGATCATGACAAGGTGCTTGGCGCGATGTACTGGTCGTATCAACTCAGAGACCGACAGATGTAAGGGGAGCTGATTGCTTCGACAACGACGGAAGGCGTCGTACGCATTGTGAGAAATGTGGCTGCTGGCGTGAAACTGGACGAAGGAGTAGCATTAAAGGAGGCCGCTACCACAGAGAAGAAGCAGGATATGTAAGGTACATATCAGGAATACGAGTTCGTCTGTATTGCGAGCGTTGCGGTCGTAAGGCAGCCTCGGGGCTTCGAATACAGTTGTGAGTTGTTAGTCCCCAAACTCGATGAACTCGCCGTTTCTTCCTCCGGACAGCTGTTCCGCCTTCTTCTCCCATTGTTCCATAAACCACAATGGCCAGCCTCTCGCACGCTTCCCATACGTCCGTCGAAGAGGCTTCGACACAGAGTGTGCAGTCTCGAGGTATGTCGCTCTAAAAGCATTCCACAACTGTTTGTCTAGGTCTTCTGTAGCCATAGGATCGGGAAAGTATGGATCGTTACAGGTCACCGCTGTGACTAATCGCTGTATGGCGGCTTCGGGTCGATCGAAGGAGAGGAGCGAGGCTTTGTCGAAATCGAGGACGTAAAGGCGCATTTCATCTGACATATGATGTGTTCGGTCCCATCGGTTCTGTCTCCAGTTGGGTTTCGATATCGGGGCGCCGAGAACAAGATTCGGCGGTGAGGAAGAGCAGAAGGGCTCGGAGGTTTCCAGATCGCCAGCAGGAATGACTTGGTCCACATCCCAATCATTTGCTCCACCGAGTACAAACTCGATATCCATACCGTCTACGAGGGCATGCCAATGTATTATAGCCAGGCCTGTAGCCACTTCTTTCGCCAACTCCATCGCCAGGTCGTCGTCAAATGGAAACGATCTGAGGTCCTCCCTTGTTAGAGGAAAGTTCCAAAGATTGTCCGACCTGCACAACGGTTCGTCCTTGCGTGTTGCTAGTCCAAGATACGGTCGCACAAGACAAAAGTAGTTCTCGGGATTGGCGAACACCACGGCTTGGGATGTAGTGAACTCGTAGCGCGTTATCAGAGCGTGTCGAACCTCAAGGCCTAATGTAGGGATAAGGGACAGGGAAAACAGGAACGGTGCCGTCTTTTTGTCTTCGGCTTCCGTGAAACAGCCAGCGAACTGTGTCCAGAAGTCTTCTTTAGCTTTATCTGCTATCCAACCCTTAATAGCTGGCACCCTGGGAGTGTAGTCTTTGATTTCCCAGTCGCGTTCTGACTCCGTCAACGACCGATGTACGTGAGCCGTCAGCCGTATATCATTCCATAGTGCGTCTCGGTCCCGACCAATCTTGTATGCAGCCGTGGAGAGATCCACGCAGGTGTAGATGGTGCCGCATGTGCCGCGACCGATAACTTGAAGATTTACGGGGTTGTCGTCTAATGCGCACGCCGGGCTTGTTTGGAGGCCATCTCGAGGGTTATCGCTCGCGTGTTCGTGCTCTGCTTGCGCCATGGTGGCAGCTCTGCGAAGAGAATGGTGGGCTAGATTGCTATTAGAGTATCTGCAAAGTTTACGTTCTATACTTCAACAGATGCGATATAGTTGCTAGATATTAGCCAGGCGCAGTTGACTCAGAGGGCGAGCCATGGTTCGTTCTAGCATTATTCTCCATTCCAGGCGTGCCTATTGGAGCGCGCGCAGACGTTACGCTTAGTATTCTCATCGGTCGTGCTAGAGTAGATGTATAGAGTCGTCAGGTTGCGACAGCTTGCATGTGTCAAGCCCATATCGTGGTCATGTTCGTGCTCGCATGCGCGTGAATCAATCCGCGTTCTGGGGCCGTGCCCGGGCTAGACTGAGAACGCCAGGCACGTGACCACGCGATGACGATGACGCCATCTCAGAACCTGCGACTTTCCGAGGGCAGCGAAGAAGATATGGTACAATTTACATTACCGTCCTATACGCGTTGGTTCTCACGTAGTCCGAATCAACAAACGTCATGTGCATGATCTAAGTTATAAGACCTCGCATTGCGCTCGATGCATCGAAGAACATCGAGGCTCGTACATCGTGAGCGTACAGTTTTTACATACATCATCCGCATGTCTCATGCGTGCTTCTACTTCATCATACGCAAGCCATATAGCACCTTTTCATTCCTCCACGAAGAACCTGGCCGCAAAAACGACATCGTTCTCACTGAACACTCCCTGCCTCTCACTCTTCACCTGCCTTAGAATGCCTTGTTTGTTCTTCTTGTCCTTGCTCTCCGCGTACGCGATGACACAATCCCGGTTCAGCGATGGGTTGCTGTTCGTCTTTAGACGTGTGGGACTGCGAGGCTCCTTCGGTAAGGTGCGGTGGAGGTTCTTGCGTTTCTTCGTAGCCGAGGATTGGGGTGTAGAGGGTTCGTGGCGCGCAAGTTGAGGTGTCGTCAGAGTTGAAGTGAGCTTCACTGGGGACGGGGTTTCATTGCCGCGACGTGATTCGCGCAAGCTTTTGCGTTCCGATGAGCCATCCGCTTGCGGAATAGGTGCAGGAGACGATCTAATAGGTGCTTGAGGTGACCGGGTATATGAAATGGGCTCCATATCAGGCTCAGGAGTTGTATGTAGGCTGGATAGAGGGGAAGATGTAGCAGTGTCCCAGATCTTAGAGTTCTGGACGACCGGTATCGCGATCTTGGACGATGGAGCTGCGTCAGGCGTGTTTCTCGGTTTGGCGAAAGAGCGAGATCGACGTAGTCGCGCAGATGCTTCACGAAGTATCTCTTCTGGGTCCTCGAACCAGAATGGATTTGCCTTTGGGCCTTGTACACCAAGAATGTTGTTGCTAGAAGTTGTACGACGCGAGAGTCTTGGTTCGGTTGCATGTATACTCTGGTCGCTTGAGTCAGCACCCAGCTGATCGCCATGCAGCTTGACCTCCTCTACTTCAAGTCGTTCACCCGTTGGGATAGAGTTCTTGACAGTATATGTGGGATTTTCGACCACAACATTCGGTTGGAAAGCGCTGGTCTCTTGTGGGTTGTCGATAGCGAGGGGCAGGTCAGTCTTCGCGTGCTCTAATGGCGATGTAGGCGGCGGCGTTCCCATCCGGACCGTACTTTTTCTTGACCCGCGAAATTCGGTGCTTGCCTTCTCTGAGTCAATGGATCTCTTCTGTTCATCATCTCCTGGGACGATATCCTGTCGAGTCGGATTCTGGACGGGGCGATTGGAAGCCAAGTCTAAACGCAGTTCAGGCTCCCACCTATGATCTACTATAATTGACCTATCTTGCCCATAGACTACCAAGCGTCTGACCACGATGTTGGAATTTGTCTTCATCGATTGTTTTGGAGGAGATGCTTTCTTCGGAGAGACACTTCGTTTTGGCTTTGTAGGTACTGAGTACAAACCTGCTGGCGGTAACGGCAGGGACAGTCTGCGATCAAACGGCGGAAATGACAGGTGTGGTGGCCGAGATTCCTGATATCCATGGAGGTTTGCGACTTGTGGTAACATGTTTGGCTTGTAGCTCTCGGGAGCTCCGCAGAAGTTGGGCCCCATACCGGACATGGTGTAGTCTCGACGCGTGTATTGGCTTTCGGGTAAGCCACCACGTGGTTCTCCAGGCAGAGAACCCGCATGCGGCCTATGACTTGAGGGTGCTTGCCTGAGCCCTGGTAAATGTGTAGGAAAAGGTGATGCGTACTGGTAACCTGGGCCCTGAAAAGCCGTGGGAAAGCGATCGAGCGGACTAGACGTCAGGCCGGCGTTGTCGCCCGGTATCTGACGCATGAGATCACTGGGTGCGACTCCTCCCAGTGTTGGATCCGAGAATTGAAAGGTATATGGTGATGGGAGCATGTGAGTCGTTTGCGAGTTTGGGGTCAGATCTGGATTCATCATCTTCGTAGTGAACCCTGCACGCGACGTGAGCTCCGCTTCTGAGATGCGTACTGCATCGTGCGTATGCGCTCGTCCAGTCTCCGGTGCACGCGGTATGTTGGAGGTATCTGCACTTCTTCGAACTGGTGAAGACGTAATTCTTGCATCTGTAATGTTTGGTGCTATCAGTGCTGGAATGCTTGATCCGACACCGGCGAGTGGTGGACTTGACAGCGTCAAGGGTTCCATGGTTAGAGCTGATGGCAAGACAGGTGACATATCCTGCTTCGACTGCACTCCAGACCGGAGAGCCTGTCTCTTTGTATGAGACCTGTACTCTGGATCGCTGTCTCCTTCTGCATCCACGTCGATGACCTCTGAGGTCGGCTCCACGGTATCTTGAGGTTCCGCGTCACTCTCACTCTTGCTAGGCGCATCGACACGCAGTTGCATAGTACTGCCGTCTGCCCCGAGCACGAACGGGTAACTCTCGTCGATCATGCGCTTCGGTGTCTTCAAATAGCCCACGCCGCTAGTGAGCTTCCTACCCTCTCCAGATGTGATGACTACGTCGATGACCCCGAAAGTCTTTCCACCTGGCCTCTGCATAGTATATACCTGCTCCGGCATCTGCGTTGTCGCAAGCGCGTGGAGGAAGTCGGCAGTAGGAGGAATGTTGCCTTGTTCGTCGGTACCCCGCTCGCGTGCTTCAGCTTGGAGCGCCTGGCCAATGTGTTGCCATCGCTGTTCTACCGAAGGTGGTGTGTTGTTCTTCGCAGTACTGCCATCTGCGGCGACTCCGGGTGGTAGGATGATCCATGGCCGCTCAGCGAGAAAGTCGACTCTAGTGCCCGCGAAGACCTGGTGATGGTCTTTCGAGCCAGATTTGCCGTCGTAGTTGGGCATGGCCAAACATGCAGCGAGTGTTCCATTGAAGAAGACTTCGATCTTGAGCGATGTTCTCTGGTTGTAGAGGCCGGAGACATAGGTCTGGTCGGAGAGGTTGACGTGGAGGGTAAGTGCTTTCAGTGTGAGCTGCGAGACATCTGAGAAGCTATCGTTAGCCGCGGTGGTGCTATTAGTATTAGGCAGAAGGTACGCACCCTTCGGCGCACCCTGTGCGTCCCCAGGAGCTTCCTCTTCGTATATGTCACTCCCGACCCGGGTCTGCATGAAAGGCGCTTTTGCGAGCCAGTTGAGCTGGAAGGCGGCGTCATCACCGGGGAAAGGCACCTGCTCTTCCTTCAATAGCTTGCTCCTCAACAGCCTCTTTTCAGCTAATGCAGACTGTTGCTTGGCTGCCTCTCCCTTTCTCAGTATGATCTTTGCTGTAGTTGTATCACCGAGCGGAATCGCGCCCAGGCGCACCGAGACGCCACGCGCGAAGTAGGTAGGCATATTTGCAGGTGAAAGAATATACACGTATTATGACATGGCCGTCGCAAGAGGCAATGCCGCACTGCCCGGCGATTGGGTATTCTCGAGTCGGTTGGGTGCAGTAAGGCCGTCTAGAGCGTGTCGAGCATGGTGGGGGTGTATGGGGGACGCGTTGCGGTGACCGAGCGCTGCTGAAATCGCGTCACGTATATCGTGGGCTTCCGTTTCCGGCAGGTACCTCCAGTGCTCTTTCCGCGCACTCGTCCTCGCCGCCGTGGCCAGACTTGCGTCAATACACATCCTACCTGACGTATGGCAATCTTAAATGTACCCAGGTGCCATGAAAGTGGATTTGGCTATGAGAATATACACGCGATGAATAAAAGTGATGGAGATGCAAATCAAGCCGCTTTGAGAAACCCCAACGCGCCGGCAGACCATGTAGAGAGAAGACTGAGTGTAGCCATCCCAATCGTAATGAGTCCTATGCGCACGAGGAGATACTTACAAAGAACGCCTAGTTTGCGTATAATTTCGCCTCAAAAGGGTGCGCAGCTGACGGCAGCCGATACCATGCATCAGAGCTCGACTTCACCCCCGGACTCAACGAAGCCTCCGCCGCTTCTTTGCTGCTCGGTGCCGTTGACGCCCCAGTCGTCGGTAATGATGCCAATCGGTGGACCGCCTAGGACATCGCCTAACTCGCCTATAGTCTTTCCGTACACACTCGCAACACCGCGCTCTTCCCAGTCCTCATCTTCCTCATCGTCGTCATTATCCTCGAAGCCTTCAAAAGTCACAGTGCCTTGACGTCCACCTGCCTCTGCCTCTGCTTCTCCTTCTGTATCCGTGTCCATAGCCTCACCTACATCGCCCTCGTCACCGACCACGCTGTCTCCGCTCATTACACGGGTGACCGTGAGCCTGGTCCGGTCTACAACGCCCTTCAAGCGAACCTTGTCCGTTGTGGTGACTGTACGACCATTCTCAAACCCAGGTAAGAACTCTCCGGTCGCAGTATCGTGCCCGGTAAGTAAAGAGGAGAAGGCGTAGTCGAGTTTCGAGAGAAGACGGAAAGTAGCCTGAGCGGAACGCGTTGAGGAATCGAATAGTGGGAGGAAGTCGGCGGTGAGGACGGCGAGGTTGAGCAGATAGGGTATCTGGAGGTTCGGTGATCCAGATACCCAGACAACATCTACCAGGCCATCGAGGTCTTTTGCGACTTCCCAGAACGCCTTGTATCCTTCCTCCTCGCCCGGCGCTGGCTTAAGCTTTCGGTTCGTCATGCGGTTGTCCACTCGCTTCTGGATGATGTTGACGCCATGGTCGAGGTAGCGTATCAGATCAGATTCCCTTGGGCCACCGGGCTTCAGCGGGTGTTTGCGTGCTTGTGGGAGGGGCGACGCGTGCTGTGATGGCGCAGACGACGCTGGAGGAGTAGGGATTTCGGCCATACTAAACACCCGGAGCCTACGTTGACTTTAGATCGCCTGATTTGCATGATTTTATCTTAATGGAGGCTGCAAACCTGTTCAGCTTTTCCGTTGTACAAGGAAATAGTGTGTATATGGTTCCAGGGTTTTGTTCACCGTCACGGTGGTAGGTGAAGACGCAAGGCAGTGGGTGAGGGGTGAGGTGCAATCGTCATTCTACGCCGTAGGGTGAGCGCGTTCTTCTTCGTCGCGTGCGGGATCGACCCGCATCGTGAATTTTGAGCTGAGAAGTTGCACTGGTGCTGCGATAGCTGAGCGCGGAGCTCCTGATGGCGAGATGACGTTCGCGGAAGGTTCCTCCGTCATCCCAGCCCGTGCCCTGGATCATCCCGCAACACCACCTGCATCGACAGCAGAGCATCACCCAATTGTCGCCAAACCTCCGACACCGCATCTACCTCTGCCGTTGCTTACCGTCAATCTGTTGGTGGGCTTTGTTTTGTCATCAGGAACTCCTATCACCGGAGAACCTGCAGTAGCTGAGGCAACGACAGTCACGCTCACGGCTTTTCCAACGGACACAGGATACGTTTCCGCTAGGAATGCGATATGACGGAAAACTTGCATGCTTCGGAATAGCATGCCATCGGAGTTCAGCTGCTATGCCGTGCATCTCACAGCAAAGTAAGCCGCTCCCGCCATCGGCCCGTCCTGAGTGGCCAGGAGCAAGACAAGGGCGCTGATTAATCACCAGCGCGCCCTTCTCCAACGCGTGCGCGTGCGCCCTACATGCAAGTTTCATACGTCCGCGACGCCGATATGCATACCTAATTAAGCCGCCAACAGTCAACCATGTCAGTATACTTGTGATGGTCCACCAGGCGCCGCCCCTTTTCTAGAAGTTTTTTTAGCTGCAAGAAAGGGAAAATTTGCTAACAAACGCAACTTCGGAGAGCCCCGATTGTTGGATGAGGTTGAAACGCGACGTTTATTGACTCTACCACTTAACGGCATAACGTTGAAAATTTGCAATGAAGTCTATGACAAAAGGTATCCACCCGTCGTGTACTCTCAGCGCAAGTAGTCAGGAACGTGTCGCGCTTGTTCAACATTTGTGGCATGAGCTCCTGTAAGGCTGGCTTGAGGCACATAACTGACCGCCAGAGTACCGCTATGGTTGGTGGGTGCGCCGCAAGCTAGCACGTTCGCGACGGGCAAGATCACGGAACCTGAGAAAAGCACATTCGAGACCGTTTGACTTGTGGAGACGTCCTGATGTCGTCCAGTACTCAGCTTTGCGGAAATGTAGAGACAGGCACCTGTATGGGCCTAGCGCACGACGCTATTGGAGTCAAGGGCGTGGTTTGTGATGGATGCAGGATGACTCCCCCGCGTATCCGACGGCAAAGCAAGCCATCGCTCAGCGCATCATCCATCTGCAGCATGCAACCTTCTCATCACCTACCAGCCCTAGTTTTGTGCCGCTTGCAAATGACTCAACCCAGGGCGTGCCTGAGTGCCATGTATAAGACAACCTTAAGGCCCACTTGTTTGTGGTGCAGTTCTGGAGCAGACGTCTTATCTTCACTCGCCACCTACTAGTCCGATCTCTGCCTATTCGCACTACCCCAGCTGCCCAGCTCTCAGCTTCTCCGCATTCGAGACGTCTTATCTGAGCAGGATTGTTCCCCGCTTTCTGGTGCGACCTTGCCTTGGCTATTGCAACTAGCAAGCCTACCTTAAGGCACGCGACAGCATCGACATGTCTTCTTCATCGAACACATCAGTGTTTGCGCCACCAGACAGGATGCAGGCACTGGGCAATCAAATCGGCTACAAGGTCCGCAACATCTCGCATCATGGCCAGCCTACCATCGTGATCGATCTCAACGACAGCAATGGCCACTGCCACAAGTTCATCACCAGCTATTCTTCCATGGATACAATCGAGGGAACAGTCACCATCACTGCACCGCACGACACTCGTTTTGAGGACATCGACATCGCATTCACTGGTAAGCTCAGATCACACACGAACTTCGCAATCATCGTATCTGACATAACACAGGTACAAGCCAGGTATATGTGGATAGGATGACGACTACGCCAACAATGACAGGACGAACAGAGGCAAAGCACCGGTTTTTGACTCTTAGACAGCCAATAGACCAATCAAACTTCCCCTCCCCAAGAATTTTTGAAGCTGGAAGACCCTACAAGTTTCCCTTCACATTTACCATCCCTTCGCAACTACTTCCAAAAGCCTGCTCCCATCCAGTAGTCTCGGATCACATACGCGACGTACATCTCTCACTACCACCCAGCATTGGCGATCCCGACCTTGCTGGTTTTGGCAGTACACTGCTTGATGACCTTGCGCCGGAAATGTCAAAGATCACCTACGGAATTCAAGTCAAAATCGCGCACACTCGCGGATCAGAAGGCATCTCGGTGCTTGCTGATAAGCTGAAGAAAGTGCGCGTGAAGCCAGCCTTTGCAGAGCAGCCCCCACTGAACATTGATCACAACGACGAGTACCGATCGCGACAGGAAAAGACAGTCAAGAAGGGTTTGTTCAAAGGAAAGCTCGGGACATTATCTGCGAAGACTATCCAGCCGCCACCTCTTGTCATTCCGGGCGCAAGATCAACAGAGGGCAGAACGATCACGACCATGGCCAAGTTAGTTCTCCGTTTTGATCCCACAGAGGAGACCAGCGCACCACCGAAACTCGGTTCATTGGGGACAAAGTTGAAGGTCGTGACCTACTACGCCTCAGCTCCTAGGCAGAATCTACCAACGCGGTCTACGCTTGGGTTCGATCTGTCGCAAGGCCTATACTCCGAGTACGTGCCGCTGTCCAACCTTTGCATCGCCTCCGCCCAGTGGGAAAAGCACGATGCGGCACAAAACCCTAGTCCAGAAAGCCTGGTTCGACGCGACTCCGGCATTAGCGATTGCTCAACTCTGAGCGAAGCGGAGAAGGCCTTCGCGATTGGCATCCTACCTGCATCCAAGGATTACAAGCAAGGTGCCTTCTACACAGCGCAGATCTTGGTGCCAATCACCCTTCCTATGACACAAAACTTCATACCGACATTCCATTCCTGCCTCATCTCACGAACATATACCCTCGCGCTGCAGTTCTCCGCCCATGGAAGCTCCAGTATACATCTGAAGGTCCCGATCCAGATCTGCGCCGAAGGCAGTGATACTGGTATTGAGAATGCTAGGGCGAGGAGTGTCGAGGAGACGGCATTCAGAGCTGCCTCTGATGTCTTTTCTCCACGCAGTGTTGCGCCTCCAAGCACAGAGACGGCTCGCAGCGCCAGTGTTGGCACACGGGAAGAGATGCCACCCGGCTATTCGGCTTTCGCGCCGCCCAGCACGAGGTACAGCGTGAGCCATTCTATCGTGACCTGAAGATGTTCCAGGTTGTCGTGGGAGGACCAGTGATGAGATCAAGATAATTTTGTTGCGCAACAACCTGACGATTATCGCGCGATGTTTTTCTTGGAGAAGGATCTTGCTTTTCGGCGTTTTGGTATGGAAGAGTGGCAGGGTTTTCATTCATCGCACAGCAGCTCATGCTCTTTTCGGGTCGCCTTTTTCTATCGTTAGATCGCTCACCAGATACCCATACATATAGTAATGAACTTAATACGTTGTCATTCTCATGCTAGTTGCATCCTCTATTCTTGCCTATTTCTGAGTAATGGTGTCATGGTGTCTTGGCACGTCCGTGCTGGCCCTGGACAGCTTCCCAATCACCTCATCCTGTGGCGCCGCATCAGCACACCATCACGCACAAGCATCGCTTTTCATCAGACCAACGTAAAGAAACAATGGCCGAGCATCCGTCTTTCACATTGGCAGGCTTGTGTAAGTGTCACGACGCCATCTGCATGTCTGGGTGTATGAGAGCTGACTGAGAAATGATGTGCAGTGGCCGTCGGAGGAACTGCTGGCTATCTTCGAACACGCTCAACACCAAGCCTTGTCGCCGGAATCGGATTGGGTGCTTCGTACGCTCTTGCTGGTAAGCTGTTTAGCCCATAGAACGTGATTTTGGCTGCATTGAACGTATGCAGCTGCTTGTGGGCGCTTCAGCTGACCTGCGATCCAAGGTTACCGTATCAAGCAGAACCAGGATTACGGCACTGAACTTGCGCTTGGCAACAGCATCATGTTGATGGGCTCTGCGATACCGCGCATCATGAAGACCGGTGGACGCGCGCCTGTGCCGATTGCTCTGGGTGCGACTGGTGCGCTGGCGACTTACTACTACCAGAAGAAGGTGCGCGAGTTCAGGTATGGTGTCTGAGGAGCATTCAGTCTTCTTGAAAAGAAGGCTATCATCAAACGGCGATGGCGCCTTGTACAACTACTCAGGGTGGCTATATACTACCCTGCTCTACTCTTGAGTATCAATACCCCACTCCCATTCTCTTCTACTGAGTACATCCTTTTCCGCGCCGTTTCTTCGTCTCCGATGCCCTCAAGCTTTGGGCTTCGCTGCGCAATCATCATCATACCATCAAGCTGTACCCACGGACCCGGTGCCATCCAGTACCGCAGTGTTTGATATATGCCAAAGCAAGACGACAACAGCACGATCGCGAGGACGGCAACGGCTACCCACTCCCAGCTCAGACGCGGACTGGACCCGTACAGTTGCCATTGAATGGGATAGGATACAATCTTATCTTCCGATTTAGAAGGCAGAGACGACGGAAGAGGAGACCAGTACTTATTGCTCATGCTGAGGATGTTCTGGAATAGGATCCCCATAACGATCGACAGGCCCATGGCGTCGGAGTTCACAAGTGGATCGATTGCCTGTAGGTTGCGACTCATCAATAAGAATTGCGGCAGTAATCTAGTCGATGGAACCAATAGCTCAAGCCTCGGCATGACGTCCCGTGCCTGCATACCTACTCCATTGGCAACATCAAAGTCGCTTGCAGTTGCGCGGTTGTAAACAATCTTCTGGTTCAATTCAGCGCCGTAATGGTTAAAGCTAAGGTCGGGACTTTCCCTGTCCACGATCCACACATTGACTGCGTATAATCCATGTCGGAACAAGCTGGAACAAGTGGCACCGGCAAAGCCTAGGGATGGGACTGGTCCAAAATCGGTCATGATCACCGCTTCCGACGATTCGTTTCTAGCTGGCGGCCGGACAAGGATTGACGCCTCCGGGTTCAATGACTCCATTGGCGTGCAGACAGTGTTCAGCACTGGTAGTACGAGCGTCAAGTTACCGGTCCAACCGATCGATGAAGATGTTGGCTGATGGTCCGCGTCCTTGAGCCAGTTGTAGACACTGGTTACTTGCCCATCGTCTGCGGAGGCCGTCTCGACTGACCCATTTGATAGGCCGAAATCGGTATTGAGTGCAGTCCAGCGCTTCCATGGATCTCCGTCCAGCCGGTAGTTGTATACGTGTCTCCAGCCTTTCTGCGATTCCTTTACCGTGGACACAACATGCGTTAGGCCGGCGAACGCGAGAGAAGCGGACATGCCGAGCGCCCAGTCCCATGGTGGGTAGCCTTCCCCTCCAATATTGGATTGGCCGACACCGAGGATGTTTAGCCAGTCCACGCCGAGGAGTGATACTTTAGGATGCTCGATTCTCATTGTCGTTCGGTCCTGTGCCGTTGTTTTCCAACGTTTCTGATAAACAGGATACCAACGCTTCTTCGGTATAGCCACAGTGTTCACGGCCAGGCCTTGCAACATAACCGAGACAGATACGCAGAGACAAAGCAAACAGCGGGCAACGCTTTTCCAGCTCAAGCTAGACCTTCGCCACCTTGTGGCAAAGTTGCTAACAGTCATCCACGGCTTCGTCAACTCCTCTCTCAAACCAAAGTCGCTGTACTTCACACCACGTCTATCACCCACTGCTGTAGTCTGTGCCATCCAGACTGTGATGAAGAATGAAGCCATGTATTCCAAGGAGCTCACCAAGAGGACATCGAGGCTCTTGTTAAAGAAACCAAGAAAGGCCAGCTTGAGATCCGCATCCACTTCTTCACCGAACACACGGGTCAGGCCTATGGAGATGTATGTGCGCATCGCTCCGAGCGAGATCCCGGTTACTATAATTCCGATGACAGATACGCGAATGGCCAGCATCCAGTAGTCGGCGAATTCCAAGCCCGGTCGGGTCGCCACAGCTGGACGGTGTCTGATCTTGGCGTATATATTCTTGGCGACTACCACGACTCTTTCTCTGATGGCATTGTCAGTTCGAACGAGATGCAGCTGCCGTGCTCTTACTTCAAGGCTATCAGTATCGCTTTGTAGCCGCGCATCCTATTTGACAAACTCTTCGCTGGGGCCTTGGGAGTCATATTCTCGATCTGTGTACAAACGGCGCCTTCGCCGCTACCCGTCAGTTGCAAGGCTGTTGGTTTTCACAAGCAATATCAACACAACACTAAAGGCTCAAGGGCGGCTATATCTTCCATGGTAAGCATGCAAGGCTGAGAATGTAGCGAGGCTGAAAGATATGCCCACGGCGTATTGGCTGCATGCATGACAGCCACAAGCTGCACGAATGCTCTTATTTGTGCGACAAGACATCCGCGACTTCCACGAATCACACCTTCGAGAGAAGTAAAAGCCTGTTTTTTCACCGTTCATAAGGGTTGAGTTTAAGAATACCAATCACATACAGGCACAAGAGCAACGCGTCATCCAAGCCCGCGGATACTAAAACAAACGACTGCGACTCTTTTCACGAGCTGCTGAACGCGTCGCAAGCTTTAAGTGGGCTGGGATTGCCAGAACCCATCCCCATAGGAGTGACGTGTGAGCCGAGCGTGCCACGGCCGCCTTCCGCGCGTCCCTTCCTCGCCGCATGGCCAACAAGCGGCTCCCACTTTCTTTGTGCAAACCCCGTGATAACCGCCAAGAACACCGCTTGCATCAATATAAATCCACATGCACACCATCCATCGGGTATATGCCAATAGTGTATGTCTGTCTTTCCGCTCCGACAGGCTCGTTCGAAACCCCAGAGGCAATCCGGATGTTTGGAAAGACTTGGAGGATTCGAATCACCGCATAGCTAGCTTCCATCAATGCGTAATCCTCTATCCGGAATCAGCATTTCGCGACTCAGAAACACACCGTTGTTCGCTTAATACCTAGACAAAGTCTTGGGCCACCATTGAAGTCGACGAATCCAGCGCCGGAACGAGCCTTCTTAATCAACTCCCCACTCTCCCACCTTTCTGGCTGGAACACTCTTGCGTCTGGACCATAGATGGACTCAATACGGTGTAGGTGGTATACCGACCAGACGATCCCGGCACCCTTAGGCATGAGGACGGGGGAAGTGCCATCTGGGCCTCTGCCTCGGGGCAATACGGTAGCTTTGTTCGTAAAGCGAAGATTCATCGGCAATGTTGGGTACAGTCGCAAGACTGCATTCGTCAACGCGTGTCAGAAATCTGGCAAATGTGAAAGATGTTCAAGATTGACTGGGCTTCGAGACGTCAATGACATGCGCGTCGACACCACGTATTCAATATTCGATTATAGGTAATTGCAGCAAGATTCTATCTAATCATTACACGTTGAAGTCCTCTCCATGCAAGAAAGTCCAAACCCAATCATGACTACCTTGCCGAGCTTGGTATTCCAGCTTCACGTTCATGGTCTTACCGAGTTTCCCCTTCATCTTGTCCAACCCATCTAGTAATTCCTTAGTTGCTTCAGCATTGTACCCATAGTACGATATCTCAACCTGAGTCAACCCCGGCAATTTCTTCAATTCTTTGGCAAAGTTTCTCGACATCCACCTTCGTAATATGTACTCATAGCGGCCAAACTGTACCTTCTGGACGGCCTTTCGCTGAGCACTTGTGGCATGGTTGAGCCAATATTGTAGACTGCCGAAGTTGTAGAAGCGAAACACGCTGATTTGGCGAGAATACGCAGCAGCTTCCGAGTAAATCTGGCGGCAGACACGAAGGAGGGCGAAGCGGTGCCTCGGCGCGGGGAATTCAGACGCACGCTCTTCAAACACGGATCTGTATCTGAGTGGCTTAATGGGCCCACCCCATGCTGGGCGTATGATAGGGTTTCCAATAGCAAGCTTCCAGATTATGGAGCGGATTTCGGCAGGAAGTCGTAAGAGGGGCGATTCTTTGGCGTTGCGTTGTACACTACACTGGCATTAGTATTGTAAATTTAGATGTGGTGGTGCTGAGCTTACATAGCAATCTCGCTACCTATGGGTTTGACGTTTAGTAAGCCATCTTTGGATTTGTGGTAACCGCGCTTTCCTCGGCGAGGCTTGTCGTCAAATGTGTTGATCTGAGATGTAATTTGAGCGGCCGACATGTTGAGTTGAAAGTTGCACGGGTGCGTCGGTGGAGCGGTTGAGAGGAGACGAATAAGCCGAAGGTATAATTTTTAGATCCCAGATAAGGGCTGCTTGGAGTGAAAAGCCGCTCGCTGTGTGGCATAAGAGATGCATGATGCTAGTGAAACAAGACGCTAGATGAATAGGCTTTTCCAGGCAAGGACCTGCAGTTTACTCCGGCATTCGCAATGAAACCAGACCGATTTCGAGAACTTTTGCCAAAGAGGGACAAGAAAAGCAACCGTCGCAAATCCCCAAGAAACACACAATGACCTAGGACTTCCTCGGACTCCTGGTGAATTTGATCCCGCTGTTCTCTGTCTCATACAGACCTTTTATGAACTCCCAGCCACGTTTCCATCGCCTCTTGCTAAGCTTCTTGTGGCTTACATTTGTGATACCAATAGCAAGCTGTACACACTTGAGAGAGACCAGATTCGGAGACAATCGTTTATCTCCGTGGCCGAGGAACATGTCTCGCAAATCTGGTATGCCGTCGTGAATGTCGCGCCATTGATCCGGAAGCGAGAACTCTACGCATGGATGAAGGCGTACCGACGTGACAGTTTCAGCGAAGACCGAGGGAAAGTCTTCGATCCACATATTAAACACTTGGGGATGTACAGCTGAGAAGGTGTTCGAGCTGAAGGGTAGCAAAGCGGTTTCAGCAAAGACTTGTCGGCAGACAGCGAGCAGAGCGAGGGCGTTCTCTGAGATCGTCATGTTCTTTGCGATGCCTTGATATTCGAGGTGATGGATGTGGAATGTCTTGCCACCAAGTGCGTATCCGAAGATCATATGGCGAATTTCTGCTGGCAACCGCAGTAATGGGGAGTCCCGCTGGTTCTGTCTCGCGCTAGGTTCAAGTCAGTGAACCATTTGAACCCAAGTCGATGGAAATACTGACATCTTGAGGTACTTCCCCGTCTTTTGCTCGACATTGAGCAGGCCGTTTGCATGAAAGCGAAGCTTCTTGTGACTGCGCTTGGCTACTCCTGCACCAGTGGAAGCCTTCATGCTCTTGGCGACGGTCGCAGTCTGCTTAGGCTTTCGAGATGCCATGATGAGGCTGTCGATGAAGTAGGAGGTGTAGAGTAGATGTCCAAGGAAAGGAGTAGAGTAGACTACTACTTATGGAACTGCCGGGCCCTAGCGGTTAGGTAAAGGCGCAGGTCGGGCTTACTAGGTGAGTCAGAAGAGATGAGGTACCTGATACGAGCCGGATGTAGGAGGTGAAGGTGGGTGAGACCAGATATAATGTCAAGTAGCAGCACGAAGTAGAGGGTAAAATCAACTGACCATCCTCATCTCCAACGGTACCGGCGCTCGCTCATACATGTCGCGTGAGGTGAGCGACGATACGGCGTGGATATTAGATAGCAACCCATACTCAGTGATTCGTATCACCATCAACATCGTTCCTCCCCTCGCCAATCTCTGACACTGCCACGTGCTTGCCGATTCGCTCAACGCACGGTCACACGCTAGTCTTACGCTGTTGCCTTCGTAGTAGTCCTCCGCTGCCAGGTCTTTCGCCGCTTTTACCTCAAAGGTCAATCCATCTCTTGATTGTACCCCAACCCAGAACACCGCGCATTGCTGGAACAACCTCAGTAATTCCGACGACCTGAACCATCAATGGCGCCCCGCAAGACCGCCGCCGGCGACAAAGCTCCGAAAGCACCTGTCACCAAAAAGTCCGCAAACAAAGTCATCAAGCGACCGGCGCGCGGATACCACAAATTTCGAAATGGCTTACTGAATGTCACACCCAAAGGTGATGAAAAAAAGCTGTGAGTGTAACTAGTCTTTCTGTAAGAGCAACAGCTAACAGTCTGTCAGCGTCAAACAAAATGAGAGTTCTCCGCTGCTTCGTATACCTGCTGAAATCCGCAATACAATCTGGAAGCTTGCATTGGGAGGGAAATTGTATAAGACAGATGCGAGAGGGAAGTTCTATCCTTCACTAGCAGAGCCGAAGAACGCCACTGCTCTTCTGAGAACCTGTCGTCAGATCTACTCCGAAACCGCAATCATGCCGTTGGCTCTCACGGTGTTCTCCATATCTTCTGTCCAGCGGGCAAAGAGATCCTTCGGAAGATTCAAGCTACGGCAGCGCAAACAAATCACGATACTACAATTCGACATCGTTTCGCCCGAAAGCGTCATAGAGCTCACAAAGTTCTTCTTTGTGCGCAACAAGTTTATACTTGCTGACTCGCTCCCCGCGTTGCAAGAGCTGCGAGTTGAAGTATACTCGGCCCAAGATCCAATTATGACCCGCGAAAGAACGGAGGAGGCTGTGCACGAGTACCTCGAACCAAGCATCCGAGGGATGTCGGTCGAAGTAAAGGTACACCAGACCAATCTACCATGGTCTGGTCGTTGAAACTTGTAAGTCGACCAGATATGAAGCTGTCCGCATGGAACCATACTAATGAAGCTATAGGTTCGATCCTGCAGTCCTTCAAATCACTTGATGATGAGATGTTTTGGCTATCTCATTCGACGGGTTGGAGACGGTTCACTCGCTGAACAACTAAAGTCCAACACGGCAGGAGCACTCACGTATAAAATAACGACACTTGACAGCGTTGCGGCGATCTCCCATTTAGCTACTTATCAAAAGTTGTGCTGGATATTGAGATTTCTTGCCTTCGATGTTAGTGCTATTCTGGATAAGGTACCAGGGAGATAGATTGAAGACGCTGCTTTCATGACTTCAATGAAGATTTTGTTCTCACAACGGTATACCTAACTGATTGCTGGAATGCAATCAATTCTCCCGATTCTTATAGATTGTAGGTGCCGTGACCGTGGTCCAGAGAAGTCGCTAGATATGCCTCGGCGCAACCAAAGCTGCTGATCAGCTGTGCGCCTCTTTCCCGCCTTCCGGTACATGTCGTTGTCTCAACTTCTTGACCCTGGTTCTTGTAACAGTCAGTACAATGATACGGATAGTATGTTGTGTGGTTGTGGAGAGAAGTGGTGCTCAGTGAGAAGATTATGAGTCGTCTTGGAAAGCGCCAGACGAGTCAAGAGATCAGGCCGCAAGCAGTCTTTCACCCTCGTCTCAAGCCTGTCGCCGGCTACGCCTAAGGATGATAACTAGGGTTTCATCATTGCATATGGGGGTGAAGAGAGAAGGGTACTTACAACTTGGGTCCGGCTGATTGTGTTGTATCTGTTCCAAGCCAGCAGTTGGGCTGGACGGCCTGCTGCATCGAATGAATGATTGACCATCAGTGATCGGTGTCATCCGTTCAATAGTCCAGATCGAGGGTCTCGTCCTTTTGCACGTCGGGCCCGTTGGCCTGGTGCCAGGCGTCCCATTCGTCGCTTCCATCGTCACTATCGCCGCTGTCTGCACCGTCGCGCCCACTCCGTCTGCGCGGCAAGCCTCTCTCCAGCCTTCTTTCTTTCCTCCTCTTCGCGTATCTATCCCGCTTTCTCTTGGCCTTGGCTTTTGATGTGGCACTGTTGGTCGCCCACTGTTGCTTCTTCGGTTCTGCAGACGCATCAGGCAGCGTCTTGTCGACATCAGCCGTGCGCGAGGGGTCTTCTTGCGTGGGTGGAACAGCCGGCGCTGGACTTGCAGAGACAGCGTTGTCGTCAGAGATTTCGCCATTTTCCTTCCGTACTCGCCGTTTGCGGAGCATTGCATGGATTTCGGAGTGTCGAAACATGGCGATTTGCTCGTCGGTCAGGGTGCGCTTCGTGCCGTCGGGGTAGTAGCCCAGCCCATCGTCGGCTTCGTCGTAGTATCCTTCAGCTACTTCTACCTCTGGCTCGAAGCCGTGTAGTATGTGTTCTGGCGGCGGCGCGTGTGGGAAGTGTTGCGCATGGAAGGCGCGTAGGTCGTCCTGAGCTACTTAGCGACTGGTTACGAGCGCGATACTTGACTGCTGCACTCACGGTAGTGACGGTTGGTATTTGAAGCTCCATGGCGGGTATTTGAACTTTTGCGCGAGTGGATCAGACGCGCTCCAGGGCGCGGGGTGTCACGTTGGTGAAGGCATGTGAGGAAAAGAAGGGTTGGTCCCCAAGCTCGGAAGGCACCCGTGGACCCGTCGCGCGGTCACGAGGTCTTGGCTTCACCGCGGCATGACGTCTGTGCTCCCATCTTCAACGCCGCGTTCACCCAGAACCTGTAACGACACCCTAATGCACCCTCTGGAACGATCATGAAGCCCGTATCTTTCGTCGCATATCCCTTCGCAACCATCGCCCTCACACTTGCCACGTCTGCGCAAGCCCGCCCCTTCGACAGCATCATCCAGTCGTTCAACATCCTCAGCGAACAGTCACCTCTCCGAGACTACATCATGAGCAACCCTGAAGGCCAGGCGACGACTGGTGTTATCATATCAGATGTCATCGGCAAGACGCAGAACATCGCCATCTTCAGCGGCCTGACACGTGACATCGACGCAGTCTCCGGCCGCCTCGACAACGCCTCGCAGAATGCCACAGTGCTGGCACCGAACAACAGCATCATGCGCGACCTGAAGAGGAAGCCCTGGGAAGACCCCGACGACTATGACAGTTTTGGCGCTGACGCATACGAGGGCACCAGCGGCCAAGACCGAGCGCGGGGCAACCTCGAGCGCTTTGTGCAGCGCCACATTATACCAGAGAGCCCATGGGAGGAGGGCAAGAAGGTCAAGACGCTTGCCGGTAATGAGATTTGGTGGGAATCCAAAGACGGCCAAAAGAAGGTAAGCCATGCCGCTATGTCGGTGGTCCCGCCCGCTCGTTGGCACTGCCCCACCATTCGTCCCACGCCCACACAACCAACAATATAGTCGTATCTCGTTGTCAACTTTCCATCAATTCCCTTCAGAGGACAGATGGCCGAGCTGGTTATGGCGCCAGGTTAAGGTTTCTTAACGTTAAGTCTAGAATGAAAATTCAAGACATCCTGGTCACGAAAGTGGCGTGGGTTCGAGTCCCACTCTGTTCAGCATTCGTCTGGCTATAGTCAGATATTCCAGGATCTTTTTTTGCCAAAGTTTTGGTCATTTTTGACCATTTTTGGATTTTTGCCGACCTTTGCCACTAACAGACCGGCCTGCCGCAAGTCTTGTGTATTCTTACTAACATGAACCTGCAGATCCAACCTGCCGACGTCGAAGTGACCAGCATCGCCGACAAGGTATCCAATGGCGAGGTTTGGGTTCTTGGAGGCTCTCTCGGATAGACATGATAAACTCATTAGATCCCAACAGTCGCACCGGTGACATCGCATCCGCTCTTATCCGATATTTGTTCTCACGGACGATCTATTGCGATTGTACATACTTGTTTCATGTCGAGCATTAGACGGTATTATGACAAGCCAGCTTCAACTCGGTAGATGTCACGGTCTCTATAGATTATGAATTTTCTTTACAATGCACTGTGTTGTAATGTATTCGCTCGCTACGCTGCATGTAATCACTGCCTACTGTTGCAGATCCTTAGCCCAACGACCTTCTTCTCCACTGGGATAAGTCATGAGGTCAGGCGTGATGTCAGCTTCTGTATGGGATATGTCTGAGCGTACTTGCTCTCTTCTGCGAATCCAAGATCTCGAGCGTCATGCACATAGCCGCAGTAACAATAGAGAAGGTTGCAGTGATGAACGAGGTGTTCAACCAGCCTCGATTGGCACTCGGAATGACAACGACGAGGCTGAAAGCTTCAGCGTAGAGGCGGTGTAGACTCCCATAACCACCAATCCTGCTTGAACAACACGAAGACCCAAGGGGCATGGATAATCAGTGGAGGAGGGCCGGTACAAGATGTCATTCGGCTTCTAATTGTGTAATGGTTGCCTTCGCTGTCTATCAAGGCCGAAGGATCCGTACGCACTGCAGACTTGGGCGCTTGTCATCGATGTTGGCATCGTGGTGGTGGCAACATCATCGCAAATAGCCAGGCGCATGGCTTTTGGTGCAGTCGACGTGGAACCCTGGACACCGTCTCGTAAGGAGGCAATGTCATGAGCGTACTGTTCGATAGATGCAGCCCATCGTGATCCGTAGAACGCCATTGTCGCACAGCGTCTACTGCTGCGAGGC